CGCGATGCGTTTGTGTAAGAAAAATATCCATATTTACAACTTTATAAACCTTAATCTCTAGCTTCCGCTAACTGTCGTGCGTGCGTTCATGAGAGACTGGCGTCCAGCGGAAGACGTAAGACGTAGGCAAACGCGGTGAAGAACGCAGAAGTGACGCACGCGGAAGCGCAGAGGAGAGAGCAAAACAAAACACCGGTCATGAATTAGTAGTACAAAACGAGGATTTGTAAAGAAAAATGTCGAAGGATTTCGATAGAAGCCAAGAGGACACTGGTTTTCCTTTGATGTAAACAAAACTTGTTTCTCGCGAGACTAGCATATTCTCACCAGAGCTTACGCTACGCCTACGTCTTACGTCTTCCACTGGATGCCACTCTCATGAACGCACGTACAACAGTTAGCGGAAGCTAGAGATTAAGGTTTATAAAGTTGTAAATATGGATATTTTTCTTACACAAACACATCGCGTCGCTTCAGAAGGCCTTTATTAACCCCCCGGAGCCGTGTGAACTTCTTTTATAATGGATGGGTGCAATTTTTTTGGACTTCAAATTTTGGGCTACCATCCACTCCCATTATAAAGCATGGATTAGCCTGGACATTATTTAATATAACTCCGATTGTATTCGTCTGAAAGAAGAATGTCATATACACCTAGGATGGCTTGAGGGTGAGTAAATCATGGGGTAATTTTCATTTTTGGGTGAACTATCCCTTTAATCTAAACAATTACATGATGTGCGATCAGCATCATGAATCGTATCGCATCGTGAGTTGAGTGAATCATTACATCCCTAACTACAGATGATATATATAGAGAGAGAGAGAGAGAGCTTTGTCTGTGTAGTTCCTGTATCGTGAGTGTTTCTGCTCTCTGCAGAGTCTCTGGATAAGTGGGAGCGTCTGACTGTAGCTGACGCTCTGGAGCCGGTGCAGTTCGAGGACGGCCAGAAGATCGTGGTTCAGGGAGAACCAGGGGACGAGTTCTTCATCATCCTGGAGGTGCAGTATCCCGTCTGCTGAAAGTGTGTCTGTGTTGGTGAAAGTGTTGCGTTTTCTGAAGTCCTGACATCTGTTTCCTCAGGGATGTGCAGCCGTTCTGCAGCGCAGGTCAGAGAATGAGGAGTTTGTAGAGGTCGGCAGGTTAGGACCGTCAGACTACTTCGGTAAGTGACATTAAACATAGAGGAATCAGAGCACATTCTTAAAGGATAGTTCACCCAAAAAAGAAAAAAAGGAGACGTCTGAGGTTCTGTTTTCCATACAGCAAAAGTGGATGGTGAATTTTGCAGTATAAATCACCCTCCACTTTCCTTGTTCTGAAAATGGAACCTCAAACATTTCATGAAAGAAAGAAACTAATTTAGGCTCAGAACAACATTTTTATATGAACTGTCCATTTAATGTAAAATATATTTATGCAGTAAGCCTCTGAATATGATCTGTTAGTCAATACAATTCTAAATGTATCTCATCAGATAGCATACAATTTATTCATTATAATGGGATTCTTATTAGTTATTCATGAAACTATAAAGAGCAAGTATAGAAAATAAAACAATATAAATGACATAAACCTATGAATTCAATATTTATGGATTGCATGTTTCTCACACCTCACTCTCACTGGTCAAGATAGCTTTGTTGATATTAATAACAAAATATATTAATATAGTAGGTCTCTGAATGTGATCAGTCAGTCAATACAATTAAAAGTTTATCTTAATGGATACGATACAGTTTATTTTTTTATAACGGGATGCTTATTAGTTATTCATGAAGCTATATTATGGAAGCATGTGAAAAAAATAAAAATAAAAAAGGTGATTGTGACTTTTTTCCCATAATTCTGAGGGAGATAAAAAAGTCAGAATTACGAGATATAAACTCAGAATTCTGATTTTT